TAAATAATATCTCTAATGTTTAATGATATGATTACTCATGAAATAATTATTACATACTGCATCAGATTAAAATTTGTGCCAAATTAAAATTTAAAATGGAACTAGGATAATTTTTAAAATGATACAAATATTAATCTGATACATAATATAAATAATTCTAACTTTACAGTTATTTGTAGTTTGAATTTTGGACTCGATCAAAAGACCCAATAAATGACCAAGTGATGTTAAAGCAATTATACAAAAATGGATATCTTAACACTACTCATGAAAATCATGAAAAAGTCATGGATCAATTTTGGAATGCATTTCAGGATGCTTTAGATGTTAACATTTGCGGAATAGACAGAAAGAGGAGAATATTGTTAATTATTGCAGATAAAATTCCCTATGATATTATCAAAGAAAAGTTACTAGTTAGTATCTATTAAATTATTGCATGGGTCTTATGTGACAACCTGTCTTTTTTTATTTACTTATTGGCACGGAATAGATACCGTGCAATAAGATAGTTATTATATGGGTATATGAATAACCCAGTTATATGGGTTTATATTTAAATCTGTGCCTTCGGCACGAAATATGAACCTGTGTGTAACTGGCTTATTCATACATACCCATACAATAACTATAAAATATTTTTAAAAAATATTTGAACTAATAAATAATTATTTTAGGTCTCAAATTATCTAATTACTGAAGCACGTCAGTATGCGCACATTAATGGTCTGGAAGGTATCCAACTTGAAAAGCCTAAGATAACTAGAGAAAAATTAGCACCAGAAAAGAAAGAACAAATTGAGTATTTTATTCAAAATAAAGCGAACGTAGTAATGAGCTCTTATAAAACAGATAGTACTACTGGATTAACTATATATTACCTAAAAAATAATAAAGAGGCTTTATGGGAACGATTTCACGAAGAGTATCCTAATGGCGTTAAAAGGACAACGTTTCATAAATATTTACAAGGCGGCCAATATATATATAAGGAAAACTTAGGTGGTCTTTGCTCAATCTGTAATATGTATGGGTATAAAACATTTGATGAGCTTAGAATATTGGTACAACACTATGCAGACTTGGATCATCAGGTATTAAATTCAACATATTACCTTTAGAATCACAGCAGACCAGTATGGTATAGATAGTGGGTTAGTATGGTACAGGACAACTATAACTTGCTTGTCAGTTAAAGTATTACAAAGATCAATATGATACGACTAACTAGATTAATATGGTATAGATGTGATTTTATCAAACCGTACCAATGGTACGGTTTGATAAATCATATCCATACTATATTAATCTGGTTAGTCATATTATATTGATCTTCTGTAACTCCTGTCAGCTATAGTTCTAACTCTAAAGTTATTATATATATATATAACACTGAATCAGTATGGTACAGATCTTCAAATCGGCCCATACTATACTATACTGATCTGTAATCTAACGCCCTTCGAATGCTATTCAACATGTTAAATACAATAATTATATCATGTGATTTCACGAACATAAATGTCTGCGAAATCATTATATTACAAGTTGAATAGTATTCAAAAGTGTATCAATTAGCTTGTCAATTTGA